ACCTTCTGTAGCTTAACCTTGGAAGTCTCAAGTGTTGGAGAATCCATCACATCCTTCTAGTCTACAATTTGAAGAGTCGTGAGACACGAAGAGGCAGGGAAAAGTTTACTGCTAGCAAGAGCTGAAGTCAGAGTGAGGTCAAGCTCTGGAGCGCTTCTCAATTTCCATGCTTCTGGCTTTTACCTTCCCTTCTTTCAGTCTGCTGATAAATACATTGTTGTCTCCTAAAATTGTGGTGTTTTTTCTCACAAAATCCATATGGCAATCACTACCAACTTAACGGCAATTACAAAGGGAGTCTAATAATAAGGAATAATGAAAATAAAAAATCTTAGCCTGTTGTTCCAAATCCTCACATATAAAAGCTTTCCTGAATATCTTCTCTATGTCTTGCCTTCTATCAAAGACTGAGTTTTTCTGCCACGGGCTGAAGGGAGAAAAAACAGCAGGCAAACACCCAGGCAGTGTCTCCAGTGACACTTCTGCACAGTCTGGGGGACAGCCTCAACAGTTGGCAATTTCATAGCACTCCCAACTGTTTCAAGTCATGACTGGGACCCAGTGTCTCCAGGATTCCCTCTTCACACTTCCACTCAGACACCATATCTAAGTCTATTATGTGAATCCTTAAAAAAATAAATAATATATATATATATATATATATATATATATATTATTCCTTTAAGAACTTTCTTTACAGGAGAATGGATCCATCTTATTTTCTAGAATTTTTGTCTTTCTGCTCAATATTTGAGAATATTTTTATGAGTCAATTAGATCTCAGGTGCACTGATTGTGTCTTCCTCAGTGATTGGGCCCCTTACTGCAAGAATATTGAGTTGCTTGAGTGTGTGCAGGAATAATGAAGCTGGTGAAGGGACTAGAAAACAAAACTTATGAGGAGCATCTGAGGAAATTGGGGTTGAATAGTCTTGTGAAAAGGAGACTGAGGGGAGACCTCATTGCTCTCTGCTGCTACCTGAAAGGAGGATACAGCGGGAAGGGTGTCAGCCAAACACTGCAATGGGCTACAGTGGGGAAGCATGTAAATGGGAGCAGAGATTGGTTCCTCTCTGCAAAACCTACCTTGGAGTAGTAGTTAGTCCTCTGGCAAAAGTAACTTTTGTCCTAATCTCACTTTTTCTATGGGGCTCTTCTGAAAACAAGTTTGCATCCTAAATGCTGTTTTATGTGTATACAGGGCTGCTTTTTCATTACTCACTTTATACACCAGAAAACATTAAATAACACTGAGTCATAGTAATTTTACTAGCAAAAAGCAATATTTTGGGAGCATCCTTCTCAAATTATTCGGGTAAGATCAAGAGTTCTCTTGATCCTTTCATAGTGATGCACTTTTTCATTATGGAAAATGTGACTATCATCATATTTCAGACTGAAAAGATTTAAAAACTCTAGAAGAGCAGAAGGATGCACAGATTTGAAAAGGAGAGTGAAGCATTATATTCTCTACACTGCTTTTCTAGCTATCACTGCCCAGGCGTATCTAAACCAAAGACACAATTATTCTTCGGTATATAGAAGTTTAAGAATGGAGACCATATTTTTCAACACTTGATATCATGTCACTGTGTTCCTTGGCACTGTGATACAGTAGTTAATTGCCCTCAGAGTACAGTTTAGACACACTTTAACATGACAAAAGTACTGTCAGTCACCAAAATGGATGTGTTTGTCCCTGTCCTTGCCTTCTTCATGCTGACTTAAGCACGGCTGAAGTAATTCAGTGAATCAAGACTGGGACAGATCCCAGTTGAACACTCATCTTTTTGAGGAATTTGCTATGTTAAATTCCCTGTTCCAGGTCACTGCACCACCGTTTGAGAAGCAGTGCCAGCATAAGGCATGGTGGGAAGGCCTAACCAGCATAAATAGCCAGGACAGCACGCATTTATATTGGATGAAAGGGCTGAGAGAGCTGGGCCTGTTTAGCTTGGAGAAGACTGAGACAGGATCCTATCGATATTTACTAATATCTGAGGGGAGGGTGTCAAGAGGACAGGGCCAGACTCTTTTCGGTTGTGCCCAGAGACAGACAAGAGGCAACTGGCACAAACTGAAGCACAGGAAGTTCCAGCTGAAAATGAGAGGGCACTTCTTTACTGTGAGGGTGAAAGAGCCCTGGGACAGGTTGCCCAGAGAGGCTGTGGAATCTCCTTGTCTGGAGATATTCAAAACCTGCCTGGATGCACTCCTGTGCAGTGTGCTCTAGGTGACCCTGCCTTGCAGGCAGGGTGAACTACATGATCTCTGGAGGTCCCTTCCAACTTCCACCATTCTGTGCTTCCACATGGCTTTGTCCCATGGGCTCCATCCCCCAGGAGCAAACTGCTCCAGCACGGGTCCCCAACGGGTGGGCGGCAGCTCTCCCCAGACCCCCTGCTCCTGCGTGGGCTCCTTTCCACAGGCTGGGAGGTGCCCCTTTCCCGGGGCACCTCCTGCCCTCCTGCTGCACTCATGTTGGGGCTGCAGGTCTGGTTCTCACTCCTCTCTCCCAGCTGCTGTTGTGCAGCAGTTTTTGTTGGTTTGTTTTCCTTTCTTAACTCTGCTGTCACAGAGGTGAAACCAATATTGCTCACTGGCTTGGCTCTGGCCAGCAGCAGGTCCATTCTGCAGCTTTCTGGAGCTGGCCCTTATCTGACATGGGGCAGCTTCTGGGTGCTTCACAGAAGCCGCCCCTGCAGACCCCATTGCCATGTAAACACCATGTTACCAATATTAGTCTCATCCTAAATACAAAACACAGCACCATATCATCTACTGTGAAGAAAATTAACTCTATTCCAGGTGAAACCAGGACAGAGTCCCAGCTGTGTGGACTCAAATACCCACTTGAGGAGGATATTTTCTCACATCACCTTAGTGAAGGGAAGTAGCTTCTAAGTTAAGCCAGGCTAAACTCAAGAACTCACCTGTTCAGTCTTGCTGTTCTTTTGCTTCTTCTGTCAAATACAAATTTTAGTAGCCATGATTTTCTTTGGAGATCACATTCAATATATGGAATACTGCCTTGCTGGGAACTCGTGAGATGCCACCGAAACACACTGAAATTGAAGTTTTATATTCACAGTTAAGTAGGTGCAGTGAGTCAAAGGTGCAGTTGAGTTTATGAGATAAATGACTTTCTCCTTACTGCCCAGACATCATGAGGAAGACATACCTCTTGTAATTTTTACTTCTGGGTTAGCATATTATTTTAATTCCTTGCTTTCTGCAACCAATTACAATGGTTGTAATTGAACGTGCATTATCCGGCCTGCACAGTTTCAGGGTCCTCACTCCCCAGTGTCCCTCACCATAGAAAATTGACAGATAGAGCTGGTGGCAAGCCACAGAGTGATTTGTTTAATTACTGCTACTGATACTGTGACAAGCCTAGGCACAATTTTAATCCTGGTTTCTGCAGCTGCTTTTGCTTCTGTGTAGGAGTATCTGGGAAAGGCACCAGAAAGCGTGTCCTGTGTAGTAACTTTTAACTTCTTGAAGAAGCCTACAAGACAATAACTTGGCAATTACTGCCAGCTAGTCTTTTTTTGCCTGAGAACAGTCAAAATTAGAGTGAAAAATAATTTCTCCTTCTTGCTGCTAGATGTTCCCAGTATCTCATATGGCTTCCTCATATCTTTGCTGCCATACCTCTACTTTTATTCCCCAATCTGTATTTTCATTAATTCTTGTATTGACTCTTACTCTATTAAAGAAGGTTTCAGTAGTTTCTTTGGCCCCTTATTCTCAGTATTTTGTCTCATTTTACATAACACAAGTGCTTAGAGCATTTGCAATTTGCAGTTTGCTAAGCAACCCTTTCTCTTTGCCTTAAGATATCTCCTTTTCTATGAGACACTTTGCCTCTAGGTCTGCCTCTGATTATTCAATTCCTGTTGCCTGAATTCAAGTGCTTGTTGCCTGTGTAGAAAGGTCCGGGTATTACAGAAAAGCAGATTTGTTCCATTTGATTTGAAAATGAATCACCCAGTAAGGAACTGAAAGCTCTATGTGGGGTTAAAGATAGAGTTCATGAAATACTTGGAAGAACCTGAGACCAGGCAATCAGTAATGCACAATGAACTGAACCATAGCAAAAGTACCCAAAACAAAGACAGACCTAAAAGTGGAGCATAAAAAGCATGTGAATGCAAGTAAGCCAAAACAAAGGAGTGGAAAGGAAAATATACAACAAACAAAACAAAAATATACAAGGCAAAAAATCTGTTTTCCCCTCAGCAACACATACTCAAGAACCACAGAATCATAGAATATCCTGAGTCAGGAGGCACCCACAAGGATCATCAAGTCTAACTCCTTGGTACACACAGGACCACCTAAAAATTAACTGCATGTCCAAGAATGAGTTCCAGAAGTATCTCTAGGTGCTGTGCTTTGTTCTAAGAGAACGATCAGGGTGCGTGTCATCAAAAGTTTCATGAAAAAAAAAACAGCCAAGCAAACAAGAAAACTACCATGATATAATGAACCTCCCGTTTTTTGCTGAAAAAAAATCCATTTACAACACAATCTCATTACATGTTAATCTTACTAATAATATTTGCACTATGCTAGCATTTCTGGCAGCTTGTCATAATGGCTATTTAAAGAAACACAGAATAGATTTTGCTGCTAAAAAGCTTCCAGGACTAGGTTGAGGCTAGTTGAGACTATGCATAATTAGTCTTTTTCATATAATGCATAAAAATAATAGTCAGTCTTCAAAAGATGACAATGGTGTTAAAAGGTGGCCAAAGGTAAAAATGTAAAAAGTACAAGAAAGACTTATTTGAGACAAGGCAAAAATAAGTATTATGTATTCCAACCTTTACCAAGAGATTGTGGAAGAATAAACAGAAGTACATCTGAAGAAATCAAGGAGAAGCAGTCATCCATTAGATACTGCCTTTTGAAAGATTCGATTAATATCTTGAAACCAGCTGTAAGACAATGAAGAAGAATCAGTGCAAAGTGAAATTTACTTTTATTGCATATTTTTGTGCTAAAGGATGATGACATGGTTAGTAGCCCTGCAACTGCATAACTGAAAGAGACAGGTTGTAAAACACAAGAAAATAGGGATGAAAAGTCTTTACAGATCGTCTAGCCCTTGTTGTGCCTGAGTGAAGGATTAACTTTTCTGAAGTCATTCTTGGCAGGTGTTTGTCTAATGTATTATTTAAAATTTCAATGACAGAGATTCTCATCTCTGTAAACAGCATTGTTTGGTGTTTATTGTCTTTAAAATTATTTCTCCTTTTCTACCTTAAACGTTTCTTGCTAAATTTTAAGCAAATTACTTTTTGTCCTGCTCAAAGTGGATATGAAGAACATTTTCAGTCTTTCTTCAACGTCTTTGAAGACTTTCTTCAAAGTCTTTCCTTTCTTTTCAGCCACAGATGAAAAGGGCAGGGCTCTATTCTCAAAAGCAAATAAAGTTATTTCTTTCAGTCTTGCACCAAATACAAGATTTTCCAGGATCCTGCTTTTCTCTGGGTCCTTCCACCCATGACACAACTAGATTTTCCCTGCATAGTCCACATCTGTCTTGAAATGTTGTACTCCACATGAGGCTCAGGACTTCAGCCAGGGCATTTCTAGTACTGAACAGAGTAGGAGGATATTTGACACTTCTGTGCATCTCAGAAAGTATGAAGATGTTCAACAACGCTAATCTTTTCACTTTGTGGTCTACTAATGCTTCTAGATACTCTTCTGAAGACTTCTAAGCAGTCAGTCTAAAGCACTTTACTGGGTAGCTGTTGTGTCTAAATCTCCCGTGCATGACCAATATCATGATATTCAGTCTTCATCTACCTGGATGATGTCTCCCAAGGCCATCCTTCGAGTAGACTGTTTCCTTACAAAAGAAGCTTCATCTGTTTCCCCTTGCTGTGCTCCTCTCTCCTTCTGCTTTTTGGCTACATTCTCAATGAGCTTGCTTGCATCGCTCAGGGTTTTTTGTGTTCGTTGACCTGCAGATTTCTTCTTGCCTTCTCCCACACTTGGATCCATGACCTTTAAGGGTGTGGCTTTCCCGTGGTCTTCTTGCTGCTCTTTCACGTGCTTTACCCTGAATCGGCGTCTAGAAGTGTTCTGGTGAGGATCAGGGATGCTGTCAGGGCTGTTAGACTCTTCATGCATGTCCACTTGGAGAGTGGGGATTAACAGCTTATGAAGTGTCTTAGGAGCCTCTCCAACACCTGGTTGCTTAGTCAACTTTGAGCTTGTCTCTGGAGGCAAAATAACTTGAATTTCTCCCAGGGGCCTGCTGCTTTTAGGAGAAAGGGGATTATCTTTATTCTCCATTGCAGCTTTCTCATTCAGCCTTATCTTATGAAGGTTTTCCAGCTCCCCCTGGGAGAGATTCTTCACTCTTTTCACATGGGGTTCATTGCTGATGGAGTTGATAGCTGTCAGCTTCTGAGCAGCCATTTGGGCTTCTCTCTGGATGCTCATAATCTTTTGGAGCTGGGCTTCTTTCACTTCCACAGGGATCTCCAGGGGAGCCAACTTCACTGGCCTTTTCAGGGCAATGTTCTCTGTGCTACTCGACTCATTCGCACGATGCAAGCCTGGAGACAAAGGCCCCTCTTTTCTTACCTTTTCAGGCCACAGATTTTTCTCTCCCTGGGCTATCCTCTTTTCTGACATCCTGGGAGAAGGAGGATGGAAACCAGAGTTTCTATGTTCACTTCCTGGCTTCTCTTTTGGCAGGATGAGGATGGGATTCTTCTTGGGCTGCAGGTTCACAATGGTAACTTCACTGACGTTGCAGTTATATCTGGGCATCAGCTTTTCCTCAGCCATTGAGGCACCCTTAAAGAAAGCAAACAGATGCAGGGATCATACATCATATTAATGGTTACTATTCATTTTTTACCTGTTTGAGAGTTTGGCAAGAGTGCAATCTTGGTGTCCCTTGAAGTGTACTTCTCATATCCATAACTCCTGAGTACTGTACTCCACACTCTGACTTACCCCTGAGTAATCTACAATAAAGGGCTCCATGTATGGAAACTAAATAAGCCTGACAACTGAGAAATCAGAGCTTTTCTCCCCTCTGACAGTCACCAATGATGTCTATCTTTACTTATTTCTCAATGTAACATTACCATTCTCTTTTCCAGTCTGTCCCAGATATTATGTCCTTTCTAAGCAGTGGGCAGCACCAGCCTGTAGACTGCAGTCACTAGCTTAAAGGAAAATTAGGACCTCCACAATACATAGAAAATTGCATTATAAGAAGAGAATTCATGTTATCTTGGAGGAGCTCCTATCTGAGGATCAGGTGTGCATCTTTCCCTTCTTCCTCTGACATGCTGAGTGATGGGCATTTCTGGTATGACCATCCACCTCACTCCTATGCTTGTATTGTGCATTATAGGGCAGTGCCTTCATTTCCACTCAAATTCTTCCTAATTTCACAAGGTGCTTTTCTATAAAGGACATGCAGTTAAATTAATGCTGATTTTGGAGATGGGCTCTGTTCCTGCTTCTGTCAAGATGAGTAAGTCCTCCTCCCTACGGTCCCTTTTCCACTCCCACTCTCTGTGTCTTGTACAGACTATACATTTTACAGGCAGGCAAGAACAATATTCTTGACTGTGGCTGGGACCTCTAGACCCAATTATCATAAAGATTTCTTACTAAAGGATAGTATTAACTTGTTCTTCCTGTGATGAACAGAGGAGTAAGTGAGCTATCTTATTTCACAGTACCTCTCATTTAATCAAATCAATTTCTGCATTGGTAATTTCTGTTCACTGATATTGGTGAGAATTTTTTAAGTACTTGGGCTTAGTATCATTATAAATAAAATGATACATCTCTTGCCCTTTCTGTGTCTTGCTGTGTTCCAAGAAAGCAGTTAAGGCTGCCTACAGCTCTGTAAAAGCAAAGTGAAATACAATAAATATAAATAAACCTTGTCCTAAAATTCAGGCACATAAAGCAATGAGACAGAATGAAAGCTCCAATGCACAGTGAGGTATGGGAATGGAAAGGAAGAAAAGGTAAACAATATAGTGCCTCCAAACGATTGTTTTTAAAAGACCTTGGTTGAAAAGCCTTATGCCTCTAAAAGTGAGTGCACAACTAAAACTCAGCCAACTATTCAAGCCTATAGGACAACCTGCCTAGACAATGGCTCTTTGTCCCTATGAACATTATTTGTTTTAAGGATATTTTCAGACAAGAGTGATTCTTTGATTGGGTCATTCTCTGCTGCATTCATCTGAGGAACATTCAGCCATGCTAAGAAGGCCTGGAGAAATTTTACACACCACCTAAATCCTATTGGAGTCCTAATGTTAATACACTTAAAACCCATCCAAGGCTAATGTGCAAGATAAGCTGGATCCTCTGTTACCCTGCACACATTACTCAATACCTTCTCAAAATGTCCATCTGCTATGTATATACTCCTACTTAAAATTTAATTAAGTAATTGGCCCAATCTTGTGTAAGTAATTGCTCTGTGCCCAAAATTCCCTTTGCAGTCAATGAGAGACCCATACATAGAATGACTGCTTCAAGCTCTCAGGATCAAAGTATTATGATAGTGGTATTATCAAAGGGACCACCAGTCTTTATTTAGAAACCACAGCCTTCATGTAATTTAAGTACTTTCCTCCCCAGTCTCAGCTTACTGATCCTTCTGATATAAACTGCACAGTAATGGAAGGGCAGAGACAAAAGGGCCACAGACAATAGCCAATTAGCACGGAGTGGCTTCGGATATGGGAAACTTGGTGTCCCCCATAATGAGGAATCTGATGACCCTCTGCTTAAGTTAGCTATCTTAGTGCCCAGAGTGGATGGTCCTCAGAGAGGGGTACTTCTGCTATTTTTAATTCACTTTGACTTCAGGATACTGCTTATTGCAGGGCAATAAACACTTGATTTATAGGCAGAAAGTGAGACCTGTAATAGAGTCTTAGAGAAATCTGATGCTGTTTTGAAACCTTGCTCACCAGCTTGACTACTAGGACAAGAGAAGAGAATGAGCTGAGGAACCTTTCCAGTCTTGGTCCTCAGCTTCTATTGTTCTACAGCTGATGAAACTAGACAGATTTAAAACAGCCACAGGAGCCCAGAGGTTTTCTGTATGTGGCAAAAATAGGGAACAGAAGAACGGGATAAGCACATTACACATGAATTGCGCTTAGATAACCTGACATCCAGCTGGACTTTTGCCTGAAAGTCAGTCAGTCCATCAGCCTGTTGTGGTATCACAAAGCTCTGCAGGGCTTGAGATCCAAACCCCTACTTTATGCAAACCACTTCTCTGTTGACTCTAAAACACTTCCCCATTTCAGTCCCATTGTGAGCATAATCAGGAGGCAATATGGGGTCATAGTGTGCATGGTTACAGGTACATAATGATAGAAAGGGATCCTTTAAAATTCCTGTTTCTTTACCCACACTTTTGAAGTTTCCTCTCTTTGCTTAATGAAACCAGATGTATAGTACATTACATTAAAACAAGCAAAAAAAAAGCTAAATCCCAAGCTCTTCCTACATAAGCAAAAGCTTTAATCTCATTGCAACAGGATAATCTGTAGTGATAAGCAGATGTTACACAACTCAGATACTTTTCATTCCCATCATCATGCATATCAGCTGATGGCTGCAGTTCAAAGGGGAGGACAGAAATACCTAAGGAAGTTCACAGATCAAATCCTTCAGCTTATCTGGCTGAAAGCTTGTCCCCACAGTGGAGGTTTCTGAGTTCAATTCCAAAATAAACACCAAGCCTTCGATGTGCCTTAATTCCCCATGTGATGCCTGAAGCTCTGCTATTGAAAAGCCCTCTGGCACGTGGAGACCCATTACACATGCTGTCATTCAACACGGGCAAGAAGCAATTCAGTTTAAACATCTAGGAATTAATTTCTTTGCTTCCACTGCAGATTCTGCATGCACAGTAAATGACTCATGTCATGGAGCACAAACAGGTAAAGCTGGTCCCCAAATAGCTCCCAGAAAATGCCTAAATATCCAGCCTCTTGGTACTCTGACTGCTTTTGTCTGTTGGCATAAGGATAACACCTGCGACAGCAGGGACATGCCCTGATACATCATCATTTGCTGTACTGGAAAAAAATTAACAAGAGAATGATGTCTGTGAGACAGTGGGTTCTAGGAGGCCAAATGGTCTTTCAAGCTGGTGAACTTAAAACATAACAGTATCTGTAATCAGCAGGACAGAAAACAAGGCTAATATCACACCCAGCTGCCTCTGACTTGAAAATAACCATGCACCAAGGTGGAGTGAGTGGGGGAACTTGCTTCAAGTCCTTGTTGAGTCTCCTCCATGTAGGAACCAAAGATCTAGTGTGTCATTTTGTCACAACTCCCCTGCCATTGGACTTCTTAGTATATTTACACAATGACAGCAAGAAAGGTTTCAAAACAGAATTAAAGAGAGACTAAGCTCCAGCCTAATATAAGGGAATCCACATCAAAACCTTGTTCCACCACAAGCTGCTCATGGAATGGCAAGGAAGATGCTTTGTCCCTCTGACTGCTTTCCACCTGTAAATGTGATCTGATTCCCTCTCCTAGTTCATATGAGCATTATAGATGTAAAAATATTATAAGTAGAAGTTACTCAGAAACACTTGAAAGTATGTTTTGTTAGTTCCCAAAAGAGGTTCAGTTCTAAAGAACTTAATTTTTGGAAAACAAGTGCTCTACAGAAGGTGGCACCTGTTGAGTCAGAAACAGAAGCATGCAAAGCAATAATGACTTGAAAATTGTAATTGGTAATGCTAAGTATGTATGAAATCCTTTTCTCTGTGTAACTCTGCAAATTTCTTTACATCCTATATTGGAACTTGTTAGAAATTATGTTCTGTAGAGGGCTTGTTTTTATGTTAAGGACTTTTTTGTAGGTGAGAAGAATTTTGGACATGACTTAGTAGTTGCAGTCATTAACTTAAAAGTGTGTTTAATAAAACCATATTTAATATTTATTCAAAAATTGTTGGGAATCCTAAGAGGAATTAATTCATTTCATAGAATTTGGCACATTCTTATTCCTAGTATTATCACCACTTTAATAGCTCCTCACTGAATACATGAAGAGTTCAATTTGAACTTTAGAATTCGACAGCATACACACAAGTTGCAAATTGTGGAGCTTACCAGACTTCCCATATCACTGGCAAGCTTTACTGAACAAGATAACTCTGGAATCTTCCTATAGGGATTTACAATATTGTAGGAAAAAAAAAAAAAAAAAAAAAAAAAAAAAAGCTACAGAACTCCTGGGCTTCTAATAGGTACTCTGTGACCATGGGAAAGTAATGTAAACTAACTTTTCCAACTTCCACATGAAAATAATGATACAGTTACTTATTTAGACCAAGACAAAGATTTATAAAAAATGAGCAACTAATATTAGATTTCTAAATACAGATTTAAGATAAAAATATATGACCTGCTTTTCAGTAGTAGCACTGGCTTTGCACTTCTTAAATTCAGCCAACTTATTTAAGGATCTAAATTGTAATTTAAGATGCTAGCTTCAGCTTCACAAAACTTAGCCTTAGCTGTCAGAATAAGGAGATTGATTTCCGAAAAGTCCTGAGCACCTGCAGCTCTCAGCCCTTTCAACAAGACTATGAGAAGTAAAGGTCTGCATATGCTGCAAAGCATGGGTCCAGAACTCCAGGGCTGTGGGTCAGTGGTGTGTATGTGTGCATGACATTACAGACATAAATCTTCTCACTGCTCTGAGTGGAATGAAACAACAATAACGAACAAATAAAAATAATATCCCTGTTAAGCAGCAGCTCCTGTTTTCATTACAT